TCTTAAGCCAGCAAGTCTGAGTACATTCACCCAAAGCAGACAGAGACGGGAGCCAAGTCTCCTATTTCTCCTGGCTATGGCACCAGACCAGCATCAGGGGAGTCTCTACCTCTTGAGGCCAAGGTCCATGTGAGAGATAAACAGAAAGGGCCCATTGGGAAGAGACTTCCAGCAGCCCCGGGGGGGCGAAGCACTCACAGCAAAAGCCTGCGTGTCTGTAAACACGTTCCTCACTGCCTCCGGCTCTAGCCAGCTACTGCTCACTCACCTGGGGAGGCCTGACTGCAGAGCCACAGGAGCAAGACACACCTGGCATCTGTAGCACCAGCATGTTAACTGATCTCCTAATACCTGTTTAACCAGTCTGTGCTGACCCAGTCCCTTTGGGCAGTCATTCAGGCCAAAGGCTCCTGTCTGCCAGCAAGATAAAAGTGAACTGTGATCTTTGGTTACAAAAAGAGGTGAATTCACTCGGCAGTACTGACTGAGAACATCTGGAGTCAGACGGGAGCCTCGTTCTCGAATGTTTCCCTAGACTTCTCTGAAAGCCGTGCAGGAAGAGCCTCTGTGTCCCAGGGAGCCCGCTCCAGCGACAGCCAGCCCCAACCTCTTCCCAGGCAGCGGTTAAGCCGCCTGAGCCTCTCCAAACATCCGTGACTGCAGAGAGACTGATGCGGTAAATTAGCAACAGCAAAGCCCTGTTAACTTCAACTGCAACTCTCCAGCAAGGCGGCAGGTCCCAGTGAAGAATATAAGGCTGTTACACTCAACATTCTCCCAAAACTACAAACACATATGTTGATGACAGCATAAACAATTTTAACCAAGACTGACCATACCCTTAATCAATCAAAGTGACAATAGATGGAAAGTCATACTAGTATTTGCTAACTGTTCCAATTCCATACTGAAAGATTCAATGAGAATAAAATTAAGCAATCTTTGAAATACTAAGCTTTTCTGCTCTGCAAAGAGCAGACTATTCAGTAGAGCATTTGAGGAGTCTGGATTGAATCCACGTCTGCCACTTACCAATTCGGTAATAAATTACTGAAACCTTTCCTAAACTTCCTTTCCTTGTCTATAAAATGGGATTAGGCACAGCATGTACCTCCTGAGCCTGTGTGATGAATAGATGAGATAATAAACAGTGCATGCATGCCACGTGGCAAGCCCTCAATCAGTGTTCACCAACCTGTCATCATCATTGTCATCATCACCTTCCAATTTAGCACAAGGCACCAAAACCATCCATCGGTATACCTCCCCAGCTCACTGGCTCAGAACATTCACGTACTGTCACAACAGAGATATTTCCTGGGTGACCCAGTAAAACCAGATCTTTCCAACAACTTCCAGCCTGGTGAAGCAAACAAGTAGGCTCTCCAGAGGCACTGAGCCAAATACACTTCAAATCCCTTACTGTGTTTAACATGTTTCATACTTCTCGCTCATCTTAAACACAGAAGGACTGGCTGGAAACTGCTTATCACTTCACACACAGTTCCTAGAACCCGTACCTACAGCACAGGACACTGTGCGCTCAATAAAGCATGTATGATTCCCATTTTTAAAAAGAGGAGGAAATTACGCTGCATGTCTTCCAAATCAGCACCCATGCTTAACACACCAGTTCAAGAGATATGGGTAGGCTTACTATGTGCTAGGGAGAAGCTCCCAGAGACTTTATGGTGAGAACTGAAGAGAGGAAGAAAGCCTCAAGTGTCTAATGGGAGAGGCCCCGGCAGAGCTGCAAGCACATATTACTGGTAGGCAGCACACGCTGCCATGGAAAATGCAGGAAGAGGCCTGATTCAGTCTGAGGGAAACAAGGCTTTCTTGATGTCAAGGCTGACACCTGAAGGGTTCAGATAAGTTAGTCTCCTGAGAAATGAAGAGATATGACTAGAAAAAAGAGTAGATCAGAGAAGGCCAGGAAGCCACTGGACCACTCTGTGGGCAACAGGGACATAACATTTTACACAATCAGAACTGCACTTTAAAAACCTCTTTCGGGCCAAAACCGGTTTGGCTCAGTGGTAGAGCGTCGGTCTGTGGACTGAAAGGTCCCGGGTTCGATTCCGGTCAAGGGCATGTACCTTGGTTGAGGGCACATCCCAGGTAGGGGGTGTGCAAGAGGCAGCTGATCCATGTTTCTCTCTCATCGAGACGTTTCTAGCTCTCTATCTCTCTCCCTTCCTCTCTGTAAAAAATCAATACAATATATTTTTTAAAACCTCTTTCGGGATACAGTGAGGACAATAATCCAGGCAAGAACAACGATAAATGAGTGAGGTAAAGGAGAGTAAGTGAATGGATGGGGAGAGGGAAGGAAGGAACCACCATGTCAGGTGGGATACCAAGCTCTGACTGCAGAAGCTTGGGGGCCGGGGGTGTAGGTTCCTTGTTGGGCAGGACTCAGGCTTCTGTGAGTGATCCAAGAAGCCGAAGCACTTGATAAGCAGTCAGATTCCAGAGAATGGAATGCAGGTAGGAAAACATGGCTGGAGACAGACTTGGAAGTTATCTGCACATTTACATGAGAAGTAAAGTTATGAGAGTAACTGAAATTCCCCAGAGAGACAAATGTTTCCAGGACAGAAACCATGAAAAACCCAGGAGAGTGTATTGTTCAACACTTAGGGTAGAAAATGCTGTTAGGAAAACCTGTCAGTTGTGTGAAATAGTGCAGTGGAGTCAGTAGAGGTCAAGTCCAAAATATGTCCCTTGGACTCAACAATGAGGTCATAGGTGAGGTGAGCTTATTGACAAAGGTGAGGCTGAAACCCAACGGTGGTCTGATCAGGAGGAAGTGGGAGTGGGAAAGTGCTTGCTTGGCTGTTGGGGAGGAGGAGGAAAGACAAAGTGCAGATTTGAAGTTTAGAGTTTAAATGCAAGAGAGGTGGCACACGCATTCTGACAGGAGGGAAGAAGAAAGAATGGGAAGAGATACAAGTATGTCTGCAGGTAGGTGTGTGGAAGCGGATGTTCCAGACTGGCTCAGCATGGCAGAACTCACAGGCTAGATTCTAACTCATGTTTAACCAACATTCTTTTCAGTTCACCAGCTTATTTAAAAAGACACTGCCTTTCCTCCCCCGCCTCCCTTTAGTTCTTTCAGGAGGCCATGTGAACCAAATGTGAAACTGTAATCTAATCTGATGTGCCTTATTCCAGAAGGCAGGGTCCCAACTTCTTCAAAGCTAATCCTAAAATCCTACTAAGCCAAACATTTCCTCTGCAATGAATGGCCGCACAGCGTGTGGCACACACACATCCGGGTCGGGGCGGGTGCCATGCTGCCATCCAAAGCAAAGAGTTTAACTTAGTGTTACATTTCATTTTATAGTCTAGATCCAGTAATTGTCATATGTGTAAGATAAAGACAGTTTGGGAGAAAAAAAATAAAGAAACAAAAGAATTCTGAAAAGTCTAAGACCGTGACAGAAGTCTGAAATGTACAAGAGACGCAAAGACTGGATGCTGGCTAATAAATCTGTTCCTGTTGTAACATTTGTGAAATCGGTTTGGGTGCCAAGGAAAGACTTCTAGGATCATCAACAAATTGGCTGTAAAATAACTACTGGTATTTACATAGATGGCTTATTATGCATTGACCCTCAAAAACTACCTAATGCTTACAACCCAAGTTCTGAGATGCTCTGGCCTATTTAGAGTCTGAAGTTGAGATGACAAAATAAACCATGGGCTACTAATGCCATATATATTCCATAAGCAACACATTTTTATATGAAGAGATATTGAATTAAGTACAGTTAGACCAAATGTAAAAAAAACATTTTTATGCTATTTATGATCACTGTGATTGATGTAGTAAAACGGTAGCTTCATGAGTAGTTCTAATAAATGATTTCAACAAATGAGATTACAAAGCAATGCTTAAAGTGCTTAATGTAACAGGGATCTTTACATTCTAATTACAAACCAATTCTTAGGTGCTCTTTACACAGGTTCCCCAAGGTCAACTATGTGGGTTTATTGGTTTAAGTTAAAGTAGTAAAATGGTTTCTTTCTTTACAGTGTAATGTCTCTGAAGCCACTAATCAATTTTAGAATCACCAGTGGGACAAGCTGGTACTATATACCTCTGGGTGCAATACATAAAGAATACAGCACCTGTGACATATTCCTATATAAAAATTCAACCTGAATCTAATTAAATTTCTAGAGACTATGGGATAAAGAGAAACAAGTTAAACAGTATCAAAAGGAAGCCATTACCCAAATTCAGAAACTCGGGTGACATATACGCAATTTTCTTAACAACTCAACAGCACATTAAAAAAATAAAATAAAATTGCTATAGAATAAGAGACATTTAAGTTATATAACAGCCAATATAAAGCAGACTCTCTGAATCCTGACCAGAATAAACCAACTTTAAGAAGGTCATAATAATATTAAAAATAATCTTATTAGTTCAAGTCTAATAATGAGCATTTTAAAAAAAATTAATACTTAGAAATGTGTACTTATTATTTTAAAAAGAGAAAAAATATACATATTGCAACTCAGATTTATCAGTGATTTTGAGTTACAGAACTTCTCCTAGATACTTTACGGATGAGATCCCTCTTCCACTACCAAACTCAGGAAATAATCACGTAAGTCATAAAATGCTACTAGCAGTTTTCAAAACATCCACTTCCTTCCCTCCTGTTTTCTTCCGTATTTGTCATGGGGCTAAAAGGTAAATTCACAACTTTGTTCTCAGTTTCCTCACCAATGTGGTGGATAGCTCACTGCCAGCCTTGGTGGTAATGGAAATTATTAGCAAAATCCAGAACAAGATTGGAAGAGCTTAAATATGTCCCTTTTGTAGATAAAGAAACTGAGGCTGAGAGACTCTGAGTGATTTTTGAGGTCACCCTACTACTTACTGACAGAGGCAAGCCAAGGACCCAAGTCCTGGAGGTCTGTGGGTGAGTGCGCTTCCTTACACCAAGGGGCTGGGGTGGGGGTGGGGCTTTCACGCGTACCTTCCCGTGCTCCTTCCTCACGTGGGAAATGTAAAGATCTCTTTGCGTGAACAGGCGGTCACACTCCCAACACGTCCACCCGAGGATGGCCATTTTCTTGGGGTCCATTGGTTTCTTCACAGGAGATGGGGATTTATTTTCCAATTTCTCTTTCCCGTTCATGGATCTGATGTCCTCCTTGATTTGATTTGCTGAATTTTGAGTTGTGGGCTTAATGCTCAAAGGCAAGTTTATACCCAAGTTTGGAGGCCCTTCAATACTTTTCAACGATCCATGCATAGACTATGTCACAAAAAAGAGAAGAAATATCTATCACAAATCACACCACTAAGAGAGCGCATGTGGGTTATCTCAATGCATAGGAAGTTTACATGTGATTTACATTCACTCAGAAATAGTCACATATCAAGAAGAAAACCCAAGCAGAATAATGCTCTAAAAAGATAAGTAGTATTTGTATGTCAACTAAATATGCATTTCTAGTTCAAAACTATTTTTGAAAAGTTATTTGCTTATGCCATTCTAAAACTCTTTAAAGAAGAACTTCGGTACTGAATCCAGATTATTCCTGACACACCCAGTCAGCACAGGGGGTCTTTCCTGTAACGGAGCACCTCTGGGAAAGAACATTTCACTCTCACATACTGGTAGGTGTTTGAGACCCTCACTTAACCGACTTTAACAAATACCTAAGACCCATATGCTAACAGCAAACCCTTCTCCTCCCTTTCATATTCTTGGAACACTTGTAACGGTTGAGGGGTTTGCTGGAGTTCGGGGGGCAATTCTAATCTCTGTGCACCCTGTCTAGATCCATCCTTTCTTCCTGATAGCAGACTTGTGAACTAACTATACACAGTAGATACTCAAAAAGCCTTCTTAAACTACTTAGCTATTTATCCTCATTATCTTCAACAGCTATCTTCAGTTAAATGCTCAGGATTCCAAGTTCTACTGGGGTAAAACGAGTGCGTTTGATTCTGAAGACTGGCTCCCATTGCTTTTTGTCTTGCTTGTGTTCTAGAAGCATGGAGCAAGAACAAAGGAAGCGCACCAGCCCATGCGTTCCTGAAGTTTCTCTTTTGCCTCGAGCCTCTCCTTACAACAGTAGCCAGCCTCCAAGTTGTCGGCTACAGAAAGACAGGGCGGGGGGTTGTCCTCTAAGGCCTCCAGTGCAGGCAGGGCTCCCAGGCACAGGGCTCCTGCTTACGTTCTCAGGCCGGGTCTTCCCTAAAGAGAGCCAAGAAGTAGCCGGCCTTCCTCAGTTCTGCTCACCCCAGAGGGAAAGGACTTCTATAACTTTCTCCTGAGCTGAGGTTACAGGTCCACCCGGTCACAGGGGCCTGAGCGGCATATCCCACACTCCTTGGCAAAGAGAAACCTGGGGTGAGACGGGATGTCTAGACTCCCTAACACTGTGCTTTGCTTCCTTTCCACCATGCAGGGCAGAGGCTTCCGGTTTTTTACAAAACAGAAGCCCTATTTTAACACTGTTAACCATTTAACCCCCAAAACAACATCTAAGACCTAATAAGCTTTCCCTACATTTCTAGGCAAATGCATTTTTACTGAGAAGTTGAAGGAAGTATTAAAGTATTCCTTTATAAAATAATCTTATGGTGCTATAGAAATTACAGAAAAGCAGCAAAAACTTCTGCTGTTACAAGAGAGCAATGGTAAGTGAAAATCAGATTATTTATTTAAAACAAAAATTTCAATAACAAAAATATGACTTAATTCTTTCAGAGTTGATTTTTCCTTAGTTCCAGTCACAATAAATAAGATGAATACTGTAACTTCAAAGTTGACTTTGAACGTACATGCAACGTGGAATAAATCTGCATTTCACTGGAACTAAGAAGTGGCAAGCACTGGGTTAGACTGGGCAGCTAGAGACCTGCCTTGAAAGGTATGTGGGAAAACTCTGCTCCTGTGCTACTCCTCCCAACGTCTTCCTCATGACAGACTGACCATCACGGGCATTAGGCAATGAAAATAAATCCACAAGAGCTAGGTACATATCTTAAAAATAACAAAAACAGGCTGCCCCTAAAGCTTGACTTTCATTCTCACCCATCCCAAGCACACCGAGGCGGGGCAGGATTTAAAGTGCACAGAACATACTTGAAATGAGACCAATGAGTGAGTGTTCACTCCCACTATTTTCATATCATGTCCTATAAAAGTTCGGTTGAATAAAAACAATGCTTTCCTCCTGTGGCAACAGGTTCTACCACTCCTTGTCAGCCTCCATTTCTTGGGACCTTGTATTCCTCCAAGTTCACTATTCACACAAGGGGAGACCCTAGCCACCAAATCGATGACCCACTTCCAGGTGTAAAGGTGACTTCCAGAAAGCAAATACCTTAAAAGTCTTTTAAGGAGTAACTTTCCTTTGTGTCCCCTCCCCCATATATTAAAATATCTGGGTCTAATCCCAATGTCTCTACATTTTTTTTTTTTAGCAGTTTTTAGTTTTTCCTGATCATTCATTATGCACTGTCAAGACAGTTTTATAAATTTAGCAAAAAATTTAAATATCTTATGAGGAGTGCACTGTACTTCAAGTGAGAATGATGAAACACACCGCCCAGCCCATGCGCTTTCTTGGCCCTAAGAATGTTACACCACCACTGCCTTTGCCTGGCCTCTAGTGCGCAGACTCATGCAGACATGAAGTCCTGTGCAATAGGCACTATGCTCATGAGCTCACATACATGAAACATGGGAAATTTCAAGGCTTAATAGTCCATTCATTTAACTAAAGTGAGACTAAACTAATTTAGACTTAATTTGTTCTTTTAATAAATGGACCTTTTTGTGTAATGTATTAAAACAGAGAAAAACTAAGGAGAAAGAGATTGAATTCATGATAATATTGAATTCAATTTTTTAAAAAAGTTAAAATCACTTTAATCTCAGAGCTAATGGATATTCTCTCCCACTCACATAGGAATAAACTTATTTTACCTACCAGTGGACAGCTAAGAGGCTAGGACCAAGCTCAGGCCTTTGGGAGCTTAAAAGCCTGTAAAGAGATTTAAGTGTCCCCTTTAGGGTTTAGAGTGAGTCGTCCAAGTTGGACATTTATTCATTTCACTAACTGAACACCACCAGGTGCTAGGTCCTGTGCTGTATCCTGAACATTTCATAGTCAACTTACATGCAACCTTGATAGAAGGGGAAAAAGAGACTAAACATGCAGGAGCATCAATTATAATGCAAATTTAGTTGCTTAATTTCAAGGGGAAAAAAACCTTCATTTTTCAAAATACACCAATATTTATACATATCAGACAATCTGTCAAGAGTCCCTTTCTATTTCTAAATCCTCTACCACACTAAGTTTCCTAAAAAAGTGAACTTCACAGTCATCATTTTCACCTATAAAAAAGAGAACCCTATCACTTTATTATGATTTTAAAATCCGTGCATGCATTTGTTACTTTGTGTTGACCTTTCATGGTCTGCAGATCAGCCTTGGGGATAAAAGTACCCTTCACTGGAGTGAACATGTACATTGCCCATTACCATCGACCAGCATCCATCCCTTCCCTCAACAGCCCACATGCCTTATCGTAATCTGCTGCTCACCCGTGACTTATGACCAATGGATGGATCTGGGATTCATTTAAAAGACACGAGAGAGACGCACACACCTTGATATGGTCCATCATGAGTTGCTTCTGTGCATATAAAAGAGAACAGTCTGGACACTTGAAAACAGACACCTTCTGGTTTTCGATGTGTTGGTCAAAGTGGCGATACAACAGGGTTTGCAGGGTAAATACGGTGTCGCACATGGAACACTTATATATTATTCTAAAACAGAGAAGTGCATGGACACGTCAGTCAGCCCCCACCGCTCAAACCAAAGGAACTTTCATCTCATCCCAAGACTTCCGGAGGCAGCAGCAATGAGAACACATAAACACGGTAAGAACAAAACAGGTTAGCGTTCAAATAAACCTTTGAAGGCAACTGACATCACTCAAGTGCAGATCAATCTTAGTATTTTGGGCAAGGACTTAGGCACAGTTGCTTAGACGTCTAAGTGAATGACCATTTAGGACTTGCAGATCTACAATGGACAGGTTTTCATAAGGTCTCCACTTGGCAGTTAGTTAACACTGAGCAAAATCACCATTGATGCTTTTTTTTTTTTTTAAAGATCAGACAAGGAATGCTGCTCAATGGTGGTACCCTAACCTGAAAAGGATTTTGAGGAATTTAGTAAGCAGGCCCACTCCCATAACAGCCCCATAACAGCTCAAGCTGTCACTTGTGCCAAGTTTTCACCTGGACTTAAAAGCAGTCTTACACTTGAATGTCAACATTCTGTTCTTAACAAAGAAAGCCCCACAGAAAAGAAAATCCACGCTGCAACACCTGAGTGTGTACTGGGCTTTCACTAGCTTAAAATACTGACTGTCCACTACAACAGATTTCGGTATCTCATGTTACCACCAAGCAGCCTCCTTAGGTTAGTTGTGCACCTTTAACCTTCAGGACATAATACATTCTATCCGATGACACCTCCCTCAGAGGCTCAGGCCAGAGCTGTCCAGAGCAGTGAATGTTCCTAGACTCCGGGCCACAACCTTTGCTTCCGGTGATTTTGACGGATCCCTGTGAATACCCCTGCCCACAGTAGGTCGCCCACTGTTCCAGGTCACCCTGGTCCTCGGGGAAGCCCTAGAAAACCTCTGTCTCCCTTGAAGAATGATAAGAAAAGGCGCAAAATCTTAGGGAGCAGCTTTGGAAAATGGCAGAGAAACAGTGACTGAAGATGAAAGAGATGAAAAGGGAACCCTGAGGTTTTGCTTAATGTTTCAGCAGGAAAGCTAAAGAAAGGAATGCCTCTTGTTCCCACTTGTCTTTCCTCTCAGGGCCTTTTCAACACAGCACTTCTCACGTACCCTCCACCCTCACTCTGCAAGTCTTTGTCCAAAAATTACAGATTTAACTTTTTTCTTCCCCCCATTAAATTTATAAATTTAATTGGAGTGAGTGACATGTTTTTACAAGGCCTTGACATGTTAGTTTGGCACAGAGCACAAGAACCCGTGATTGGGACGGGGGCAGTTTTTAAGGTCAGACTCAAACTTCACCAGACTGCTTCAAGGTGGTACACCAATGTGTCATCATTAACTTCCCCAGACGTGACAAAAATGATCATTCCCTCACTGTCTGAATAGCTTGGATTTTTAAACAGTCTAGTAAATAAGAGCAATTGTGTAAAAATGTTGAGATTATGTTGCAGATTATCTTTCCATGTAATGACATGGAAAGATTTTCATGAAAATTAAAATGACCGGTAACAAGGCAGTATGTATGATGTGGCTGCACTTTTTAAGGGGATGTAGAAAAAGAACAGAAGGCATATATCTACCATCATCTCTGCTGGATAGCAATACCCGTATTCCTTTCATTGTTCTGCTTATCTGTATTTCCTGGTGTTTCTGTAATTAGCATACAGCAATAAGAGAAAAAACAGCCTGAAGAAAAGAAGATTACTATGTAAGCTAAGAATTTTCTCAGGATTCTATTCTTACTTTTGGAAATAACTACTTCATGACAAATGGCATAGCTCACTTTATACATGCTCCATTCCCTTTGGAGTACGGGTTTGTTTGGTTTCATTTGTTGCCTTTTACTTAACAGCAAAGAAAGTAAAAATAGAGAATCATTTACTTGGGCTTTTTTCAGTGGAACAGGTTGTTAACGTGTTATCAGAATTCTGCCCCATAAACTGCTCTAAACAGAAAGGGGAAATGTGCCACCAGCTGCACTAGATGATGCGGTAATGACATCAGCACGACAAGGACAGGCAGGCACTGTGGGTCCCCAGTGTGATGCAGAGAAGATTCCAGCCCAGGGTGCACTTCCTGGTTGCATGAGCAGCTGTTTCAGATGGAAGAACGCTGATGAGACAGGACGATTAAATGCAACATGGAGTCCTGGATAAAAGACACTGTCTCAACCAGTGGAGAGATTTTCATGCGTTCTGTGAATTGGTTGGGAATAATGGACTCTGACTCTTGACTGGGAGGCAGAGGTGGGAAACACTCCCATCTTTATGTCATGAAGCCCAAGATTCCTACACAGGAGAAAGACAGACACAGAGAAGGAGCAAAATGAATGAAATGAAGATGCTGACGACTGGGGAATCCGGGGGGTGGGGAGGGGAAGTGGGGGGAGGGGCTGCAGGTGTTCTCCTGAGTGTTCTTCCAGCTTTTCCCTGTAGGACATTAACTATTATGCAATGAAAAACCGATGCCAATGAACCTCACGGGAGCCTCAGACACAGAGGGACAGAATATGATGATGGAGCAAACACAATGGAGTCTGCCCGGCAGTGGAGGGAAGGCAGTCACAATGGGGAGACCTGTGCTCACAGACCATCTAAACGGGTGCAGTACGCTGAGGAGATCGTGAGGAATGCAGGGTGTGGGTCCTCAGGGATGTGGGAATGGCAAACCTGAAAGTGTGCTTAGTCCCTGGATGTCATGAGGCTCATTGGACGGCAGAGGAACTAGACTATAACGAAGGAGGGGAGAAAGAGTCAGGTGGGGAGGGAGGAAGGAAAGAAGGAATAGAAAGTTAAAACCAAATGCCCACACCCAGGTCCACTGGTAGCAACCAGAACTCTCCAGAAAAGAGTGCTGCTCTTGAAATGGGTGTGAAATAAATGAATAAAGGTTCTAAGCTCTGAAATCCCTGCCACAAGCCTCTTCCATCACAGACTGAACTCACCTGGGTGCACTGCACTGTCCTGAGCACCACACGCTACCCTGAGAATTCACGCTGCAGCCGCGTCACAGGACACTGAGGCTCGGCTAGAGCATCTGTCAGTGCCCTGGGAACCCCAGGGCCATGGTTCAGACTCCTCTTTGGCCCACTCCGAAGTCCTCTACCCTGCCACTACATGGTTCTGCACGTTTTTTCTTCATTAGGAACTTGTTCAAAAACTCTCTATTCTAATACAATTCTAAACTCTGGAGTTCTCGTTTACTCACTTACATACATTTGGAGCTGGCAAATAAAAGGACTGCCCAAAGCAGCAAAAAGAAACTGCTGTCTATAAAATGTCAAGGAAAACACAAAAGCGAACAGACACAAACTGGATCACCATAAAATCCAGTAATAGACACTGAAAATGATCTCAAATTACCCAGAAAAGATGAAACGGTGTTCTAAGTTTCCTTGTATATGGCAACTTATACACGCCTGACTTATATTGAGAGCAAGGGACAGAGCACTGGACAGCACCTGGCACATAGGAACACCACATAAACGCTTATTATAAATCTGGTAATGTGCCTGTCTGGGTGGCTTGGTTGGTTAAGCATCGTCCCATACACCAGAAGGTTTCAGGTTCAATTCCCAGTCATGGCACATGCCTAGGTTGTGGGATTGATGCCAATTAGGTCTCAGCTGATTGATGTTTCTCTCACATCTCTTCCCCTCACCCTCAAATGAAATCTACAACTATGTAGATTTCACATATATTTCAGCAATGAATTGGTTTTATTTGAATAAAAAAAAAATCTAAAATTTTATTCACTGGAGGGAATGACTACATTACTGTCCAGAAATCTTGCTATCCTAAACACTGAAAACTAAAAGTCACCAAGTTGTATATGGATCCCCTGATTTACAATCTGTCTCATTTTGAGAATTTAAAAAGATTATAATGAAGGTCTTATTAGAATAAAATTCCATATTATCATAGTTTTTAATAAACATAGTCACTTCTGTAGTTTTAGTCAATAACATTTCCCCAAAACTAAAATTATAATAAAAGCCAAATATATGTAATATGGCATATCAACATACTTTCTCCCTAAATCTTCCTTGATTATGGAGTTATGGCAAATACATAACAACAGATGTGAGGCTGCCAATCTAGCCTCACATAATCATCAAAGTCCACACTGCCATAATAATACAGGGGGCAGGGAACCGTGGGAAGGAACTAATGCTACAGCCCCCCTTCCTCTACAGACGTGGGGGCCATGTGCTAGGTAGGCATTTTGAACCTAACCTCTTTTTATCCTCCCTCAAATGCTGGGACATAAGCATTTCCCTCCCTTAACAGGGAAAAAATGGAGTATGAGATGAGAGTAAGTGATGGTTCAAATTCAGAGCTGGTGGGTGGGGGTGGGATTCTGACTCTGGTGCCAACACTCCCTCTTCTTTCCGAAGCCACCTCTATCGTGGGCAGGGAGCCCACAATTGTCTGCTGAAGCACCACTTCATTACGAAAGACACACAAAAAGCAAAAATTGGTAACACCAAAAGCGAGATTAAGGCAAACATGAAATTTAGTAATCAAGGACATACACTGGCGATGAAGTTAGATTCCATAACCACTGTCTTTGTCCTATAAATGTTCCTATGAAAAGTGTATACTTTGAGAAACTATGAAAACATCGAAGGATGGCAGTTTTTCATAGTTTTCCTAGAACGTGTTAAAATTATCTAAGAAAAAAGACAGAATTTGTATTCACTTATTTAACTAAAATCTGATGATGAGAGCAAAAATATAATAAGGGACATTTTGGACAAAGATGTCACCTGGAAAGTACTGGAAGATTTAGGGAGCTATGAGCATCAGAATCTGCCTGGTGACATCGCTTTCCTTGTCTTATGTTGTATTCCATGGAACTCCTGCCTCCTCTAAAGCACTAACAAAGTAGTGGAGTACAAGTCAAAAGGCAGTGTGACTTACTTTGGCTCTCCTATCTTGATGCCAGGATGTTGTGTGTAGGCATGGGAATGTGTGCTGGGGGCAGACTTAAACGCCATTGGACAAATAGAACACTTGTAGAAGACTTCACAGTGAGAACCTTGGATGTGAGACTTCAGTGCGGCCACATCAGAGTACACAACATTGCAATGTACACATCTGTTAGAAAAATAAACACAGAGTCATTAGCACGAGACCATTACACGGGTGTAACTTAGCTGGGTAAAAACCAAGTAAAATGAACACATTTTAATACCCCTTTAAGTTCCTATTAGCTTTTTGGAAGTAGGCTTTGTTTTTTCTAATGCTAGAACATCAAATTATTTTTATGTACGGAAGAAGAAAGATCATGAAGAAGAAAGGTAAAGCTCAAAAGGTCTATTTTTTTTTAACATCTTGAAAATTTCTAGAATTGGATGTCCAGACTCCAGACTGTGGTGAGACCAGTGGATCATGGGGCCCATGATCAAGGTCAGGAGCACAGCAATCCTGTCTTGACTCCTGGCTTTGGAGGAGGCTCCTACATGCTGGATTATGACACGAGGGCCCTGAGGTTCCTCCCACCCCCTTTACCCAATGGCATATCCAGTGGAAGAAATCTTCCCTATCTGATCCTATGTGTCATCATGGATGGGCACAGAGGAACACGTGAGCGCTGGGGCCAAGGCCACTCACTGTTCCTGGTCCACACTGCTGTGGTTAATATTTCCGGAGGTTAAGGGGCCCATTAGGTAGCAAAGGTCAACCACCTAGTTTGTCTCCTAAAAAATAAATTTAAGTCCACTCCAATTTAAGAAAAGATACGAACGATAAACTTAAAAAAAAATAAATAAATAAATAACCAACAGCTCTAAATAAATCATCTCTCTGGCTAATCTCTTTACATCTTGAATTTCTAGTAATTCAGTTAGCTTGTTCCTCATTTCGACCTACTCCTACAGAAATAACTGTAAAATGTAGAGATACATTTCTCTCCAACCCCATCTTTAATACTCAAGGACTCCCAGCAACACTGAGTGTGTGTAACCATTTGATGACCTGGTTGTCCTTCTCTGTTGACATCAACTATGTGAATGGGAAAGCTGATCTGAGGAATAAAGACTGCAGACAGGGCCCGCCTTCCAGGAGGCAGAGCTCTATTAATCTAAGGTACTTCTATTCTTAGATCCCCCTTTTGAATTCCTGGAGATACTCCCAAAGCCTCAGGGGAATGGCATGCTCTGAATGACTAATGTTCTATAAAGCGTGCCATGTTAAACTTTGCAAGCATTTTATAAAAACCATTATTAATGCATTAGCATTTTAAATGGCTTAAAGCATATTGTTCAGCAGCAAATACAGTAACAACACTAAATAACAACAGGAGAAGCATTAAGGAAAGCTCCCCCATCTTGTCTACTTCTATTTTAGGCAATAAAGCCACCCAAGCCAAGCATACTGAAATTATTCTGGGTTAACCTGAACTCGTATTGTCTTGAACAGGTTATTATTGATCCTCTCTGGGCTGATTTCTCATTTGTAAAATGAGATCTTTTTTTTTGTTTTTGTTTTTAGACCTTCCCAGCCCCAGAAGCCTGTGAACCCCATGAAAGAGAAAGGTGACATAAAACAAAACCAGATGGGTTTCTAATGAAACAGAAGCATCCTTTACACCGTGAGTCATAGACAAAAGGTTTTTCCCAAAGGGTAGAAGGGTGGTATTCAAAGGGCAAAAAAATAAGAAAGGGCCTAAAGGAACGAAGAGCTTATTCTCTGAAGTTGCCTGGAGTGAAAGAGTAAATCCTCAAGAAAATAAGCAGGATATTAAAGAATCTACAGCTGATAAAGGAGGTGGCTTAAGCTTGGTCCCAATAGCATCATGGAGGTCAAAGGAAAACCCTCTTCAATGGAAGGAAAGAAAGGAAAGAGAGAGCTGCAAAATATCAGCCTGGAGTGGGAGAAAGGTTCAGGGTAGCAAGAAGAATGTTAGTAAGACAAACAGAAGTCAGAATCTGAAGGGGCCACACAGTATACTAATACTACTAAAAATCAGTCTGTTGATATTTAAATCCTTTGTGTTCTGGGTATTAAGTTTCTCTTAATGTGTTTATTTTTAAAATGTTCACAGTATAGAATCCAATTAAATTCCCCTTTCTAGATTCAGATTCAATGGATTGAGAAGCAAGAAAGTCCAGAGAAATATTTGATTTTTACCAAATTAACCATAAGCTAGAAGTGACCCCCCCCTTCATTATGTAGGAGATGCAATATGATCAAGAAAGAAAATGAGGCATACTGAATCTGAAAGAGACAAAAGAAGACCTGGAGCTGTGTCAGAGAGATTCCTCTGCCAAAAGAAAATAAAACAAACAAAAAAACCTAGAAAGCCAAAAAGAAAAAGAAAAAAAAACATACAAGGCCGAGGGGTTGCTGAGCCCCAGTTCAATATTAGACTGGAACTTTATTTAAAACAGCAAGATCTTTATTTAAGATCAAGCCCAACCTGTGTGGCTTAGTAGTTGAGTGTTGACCATGGACCAGGTCACCGTTTGATTCCGGTCAGGGTTTATGTCCAGGGTTGCAGGCTCAATCCCCAGTAATGGGTGTGCAGGAGGCAGCCAATCAATGATTCTCCCTCATCATTGATCCCTCTCTCCCTCTCCCTTCCTCTCTCTGAAGTCAATAAAAACATTTTTTAATTAAAAAACAGTAAGATCAAATTCTTTTCTATCATCTAAAGAGGCAAACATGAGCTAAACTTCAGAATACACAAATACATAGTATTTTCACAGCTACTATAAGCCTCATGCCTGGGGGGGGGAGGGGGGGGAGTGGTGGTGGGGAATCTATACTAAACACAAAAAATTTTGGGTAAAATTCAAGACCCCAAATAAAAGCAACTCTGTGAATGTGGAAAAAGAGGGGGGAAAGAAAAGCAAGGGAGCTTCAGAGTCTCTGTTTTAATTAGGAAAGGTACCAGGAATAAAATTATAGATGTCTCACTTTCTTTAGTCGTTCCAAACTAAGTTTACTTTCATTATATTAAAAAAATAAAGCATCTGAAGAAAGTTTGGCATCTGTTAAAAGAAGAGCACTCAGAACATGTTGTCCATCACCATTATACAAAGAATCCAGTACAGGGACCTTTTAACGTGGGGGAAGAACCACGGTATCACTGTGTACAGATTCTGGGGAAGCAAGGGCACCTTCCATGTGTAACTTTCTCCCTAAGCACTTAGCATGCAGTTGGATCTTCCTGTTTTACTCTGTATCATCCCAGTGGAGATGGAGGAAGCATCACACCAATTTTATAGACAGGGCACCAAAGAACAGAGATAACACATGGATTAACACATGATTAGCAGAACTGGTACTCACAAACTCTGGTTTCTTCACTTCCAAACCCAAGGTTTTCTACTAGGGTAACCCCCAACTCATTAAATATTGTGCATCACAGGTCTGGAGGCAGGAGATTAAAATATGAAATAATGATGCCATAATCAAAATTTAACTGAAATAAAACTATGTAACATATCACTGGACTTCATTTTTATAGATTATAACTGTATTACAACTAAAAAAAAGTCACTGTATATTAACAGTCTAACTTAAAAGACACTAGGCAACCAACGGTTAAGTTTGAGACAAACACACAGTACAGTAATACCTCTATTAACAAAGACATTGTGTCTCAACAACTGGTTTTCTTGGTGGGCCTTCATTGGGTCAAAATATAAAAGGCACAGGAATGCATTTCTGAAGGTCACAAAGTGGAGAACAAAGTTCAAGTAACTCATCAATCGTTATTAACTAAACATGAGATTTGTCATATGTTGCAAAAGACACATCTGAGCATCTTAGTGGGCAGTGAAAAGGGTTCTAATCAAGATGTGTGAAGAGAGGAAGAAGCCTGGGCAGAGGTGATGGAGAAGAAGGACTCGAGAAGGTTACCTGGGGTCACAGGCGCTTCCACCAAGAGCCACATTAGAAGAGAACATACACCCAATCCTTTATCATGACAAAGTAAAAGTAAGGAACCATCACACCCTTTCTGATTGAGAGAGAAAAGATTAAGATGTACAGACATGCATGGTATTGTTACAGGAGTTAAAATGCAAAGGAAGACAACAAAAGTATGCTGGAAAGGGTACAGAAAGTAAAGCTTGAACAGTCCATCAAAGGCAAACCCTGATACATGCACACTTTTGCCCAGAAGGTTCCATTCACCCTCAGGTGTGCGTGGGCCAGGGGGCCAAGCCCACATTCAAGGATTCAAACAGATCAATTCTACCACAAACGAGGAGCTCGGTCCCCAGAGGATCTGTTAATCGAGGTATCACTGCATGACCCTGAACACAATATGCACAGACCACTCCAAATGCTGTGCAGTTAGTAAGTGAACAAGCTTTACTTGCGCGTTAAGTCGACGAAATACTGACCGAAAACCAACTCTCCGCGTGTAGTGCAGACAGTTCTTGGTGACGTGGGTCTGGAAGTGCATCGACCTGCAGATGGCCCCGCACTCGGGGCAGGTGTAGGGAGATTTGTGCTGATGGATTCTCTGGTGGGATGCATAGCTGCACTGGTTGGGAAGCAGCATCTGGCAGATAGTGCAAGTCTTCTAAATAAACCAAAGGGGGAGACAGGGTTGGTCCTACGAAGTACTTTCTAGCACGCAAAGAAGCTTGGTTAGACCTCAAAAATCTCTACACAGCGGTCATTTCAAATACGACGATAACTGGTTCTAAGCCCAAGGAAAAAGCAAAACTGAAAGTCATATGTTCAATGAAAAATTCCTTACCCTGTAAAGTAAAAATAACAATTACTAAGTAGACAGGCTCATCCCAAAGTCTGAAGAGAAGGTCAGCTTTAGGCAGAGTTCCAATTTTGTTACCTTTGCATTTTGTTAAGTGTAAAGAGGAGGTAGCAGAGAGGTGTTCTTGCCAATTATGTGAGCAAATCAACATGAATGTGTAAATACAAGTTTATGGGCATCTATCTTGACAATAGTCACAGTTCTCACAACTCAAAAAACGTTCTTTAAAATAATAAAAATGAATTGAGAGTCTAATCCAGATTAGATATATACATTTTACATCACCTCAGTGGTTTGCAATCTGTAAGACAGGGATGCAAAAGAATGGCCACAGCAATTAGTTGTGTTTTTTGTTTTTTGGGGTTTGTTTTATTGTGGGGTTTTTTTGTTTGTTTGTTTTGTTTTGCACATTGATCTTTAAATGAATGAAGTGGACATTATATGACTTATAAGTAAAACCAATGAAGTCAAGTTCAGAAATGTAAATTTAGTTATTAAATTGAAACTTTAGATAGAGCTTAAAATGTAATCACATGTAAAATGAAACTGAGCCTGAAATCCTCTTTGGAAAGGCTCTGCATCATTAAGTAACCAGGGAAAACTGAAACACGATTTTTCATCCCCTCGAGGTAAGTACTGCACATGGCATATTTTTAAAACTTAAAGTAAATATAAACTGAGGGCTTACTACTCCCATTCCAAAAATAAACCTAACATAGCACAAGATAAATGTATTTGAATACTATTTGGATCTTCATGCAATGAGTGTCTACTATCTTCTAAAATGTACAATTTGCATTAAAGTCTGTTTTCTTAAAAGCCTCAAAATATAGACTCTAGCTAAGATTTAAAATGATCTTTTGACTGACAAAAGAATTACAACATTTTTTAAAGAATTTTTATTCTTTTAGCTTTTGAATCAAGTCCAAAAATTAATGTTTCAATTTCTGAGCAACTCAGACTAAGAAAAAAAATCAGAAACTCTTGAAAATTTTTTGTTTTTCTCCTGAAAGAACTAAAATACAAATTTTATCCCACAAAATGTTTATTATAATCACAGAGTAAGCACATTACAGGCAGCTTTGACGAGGTTAGCATCATTAAAAAATACCATTCCTTTTCTAATAACAATATACCAAAGGTTAAAACAAGCTACGCCAAAGAAAACCAATCAACAGATTTGTTAATTATTAGATCCTGTTGACATCTACCTTATCACAGGTACTCATCTCTTTCTCTGGACTAAAATTTTCTATTTTCACCACAATCATTTATCTCAGGCAGTGAATTATAATGTCTGAATTTCCACAACATCTTAGAATGTCTTGCACTTACTTAGGAATAAAATCAACATATTCTATACTAAAGTCAAATCATATTTCATTTATATAGATACTAACTCCATTCTACCGTAAGTCAAATGAACTACACATTTTAAATAAATACATTTAAATACAACATCTCATTTAGTTATCATAATAACGTATGAAGTAGACATTATTATGTCATTTTACAGATGAGGAAATGGGGTTTGAGAAGTTAAGAAACTGCCACGGCCCCACAGTTAGTAAGAACCAGGATGTGACTGGACGCTGACTACTTCCAAGGCCTGTGACGGAGTGCTCGTGAGGGGGTGTCGTCGGGGTTACAAGGAATGAACAAACACAAATACACAGGAAAAACACTTTAACAAATACCCCTCAATACCAACGGGGACCAGCATGTTAGCATGACAGGTGCTCCCCCTCCCTCCACAGTTTCTCTTTCGTCAAGTGCATTGAGATTAAACTATTTTTATAATAGAAAAAAACAGCAATAGAAAGAAAAACCTACAAAGGAGACAAAGTATGTGTTCCGTAAAAACTGAAAAATCTTTCATGTTATCCCTCTTCAAGATATGTATAGCCTTCACAATACACATAAAATTCACAATGAATTGTGTAAATGCTCTTCCCTATTGGACATTTATATGCTTATAAAACATATATAACTATATAAAAAGTTATGAATGTGCTGGTGGTGAAAAAGCTTTGTTTCTAACAAATTAACAAAATATAAAAATTATTCAATTCAAAATAGGTTTTGTAAGTTATTAAGTGCTCTTTACAACAGAAACCTGTGACTACAAACACTGAAAAATATTTAGAGTTTCGGGGTCACCCAAACACCACCCTATCAACCCCAACTTCTCTCACACTAGCTCTTCCTGTCTGACAATGTGCAGGGTGGTACCCCCCCCCCCCCCCCCCCGCCTTGGGGCTCTGTGAGAGCTGGGTCCAGCTATAACCCCTAGCACTGCCGCAGCCACTGATCAGCTACAGGAATGTGCACGATCCACATCCACTGGGTGAGGTTCCGCACCCTCTTTAGATGCAGAAGTACCAGGAAAAAGTGGGAGCCGGTGTGGACTACAGCCTCAAACCAAGATGCTTTCATATTCCGCCATGACTGAAAAGGGAGCAGCACCGGCCACTGGGAATTGCGCTGGTAACTCCCTCCAAGTTGAGACTATTTACAAGAGGACAAAGCCATTTAATGTGACAATACCTGTCTTTTGAATAAAAAAGAGTAAAAGTACTTAAAAGGTGTCAAGTGTCTTCTGACATTTCATTTTATTTACATCATCTAAAAATGGATGAATGTTTTCAGAATTTAAGCTAATTTCTATTCTGGGGCAGACTCATCTGTTCAGAAAACTGCTCCTTTTTCAGGAAAGATAGTACTTTTCAAGTGAGGAAGCACGAGAAACTACGGGAAAACAAAGCTGAAAAGTAATCATGATCTACACTTGACAACTACACGCATTGCGCCTTCTCTGCCCACTCTGGCACCAAAATCGATGGCTGCCTCTCCCATGGGCTGTGAGGCAGGGCAACCTACGGCCCTGTTAAGGTTCAGGGATGTCCGAGTAACAAGGAAACAATCCTGTGTTTCCATTCATATTTTGTGGAGAAAAATAGGTACAAGGGAAAAGGTGATAAAGGCGAGAGACACGTGATGTATTTATGTGTAAACTCCAGAGACCAAAGGCGAGAGACAGCCGGAGACATTGCATCTAAAGGTCAAAACAGTCAGCTTCACACCCAGCCCAGAGGCGAAGTAAGCTGTTTCTGCCTCTTTAACAGCAGCTCTATAGCCTTCTGTCTACAGCATTATTACAAAAAAATAATAACAACAATGAAGCACACTCATTTGTTTTCTGGTTTTCACATTCACACATCTTCACAATGAGAACCCAGAGAGAGCATTTCATTTCCAATCTCACTGCAACGGAAATAAGAATTACTGCAGAAATGACTATATGCCTTTGTTCCCAGAGCTGGTTTGGTTGTGATATTTTTTCCCCTTATTCTGCTACAAAAAAAAAAAAAAAAAAAAAAAAAATCCCTCGTATAGTTGACAGTAGAATGGGCACATTTTCAGAAAATATGGTCAATGTACAGAATCCATTCAGATGATAATCAGTGGAGAACAGAGTTAAGTTCAGGTTGATAACACTGAAATATGAACTGAGACAGGCCTCACCTAACTAAAATTAAAATGAAGCATTTCAGAGCAGGGCCAAAATCTCAAAGCCCTGAGCCTTCAGCTAATAATGGTATTTGGGGTGGGCAAGGAAACCCAGGCAGGCACCAGTTTCTGGAAGCTGCCTAAGCAGAATACTTCCAGAAACGAGATCTGGCTGGGCTGCTCAAGATAATTTAATGCACTTGGTATACTGTATTAACGATGCCCAGAAAATTCCTGAACTACACTGAATCCCTGAGAGGGAGGACCAGGACAGTAAGTCACCTTCACCTGCACTCTTGCAGCTGGTCTGGATGTAACCCACGAGACAATTCTCAAATGATTCCAATGGTGCCACCCTGTAAAATGCTGTGTCTATATCACAGGTTATCAGCATGACCCAGGGAAGGAACAGCGAACCAGCAATATAGAAGTCTTGCCTTGAGTCCCAACTATGCCACACACTGGGCATTTGTGTCTTCAATTGGAAAACACAAGGGCTGACCAAAGGACCTACAGCATCCAATTCTATGGCTGATGCAGACTCTATAAGAAAACTGATTTTTGCCAATTTTTTAGAGGTCACTGAGTGCATTGCCAGTCTGTACTTGGCTAAATTTAACCCTGGTTTCAGGGAGGTGAAGCGATGACATTCTAACACATCTAAATATTAATTATTAAAACTAAAGTTGTCAGCTCTTCAATACTTTATGGAGCAGAGGAAAGCTTCTCTTGCCCCTTCACCCACTCTTGTATTCAATGTGTCCCAAGCAGGGGTCAGTAATCATATAGGTCAGCATACAAACCTCAACCAGAGCAGATCAACTGATGTTCCAAGTCCGGTCAGTGCCCTTGTTTCTTGGCACTGCTTGGTCTGGTGTCCGTTTCTTGGCACTGCTTGGTCTGGTGTGGCTGGGAAGGGAAGTGTTCCCCCCACAAAGTCCTGCCACCTCGTCCTCTCCTTCAGCTGCCTGCTCCCGTGAGAGACAGATGTAGGCAGGACAGCTAACCCGGCAGTAAGCACACATGAAGCATTGCCCCATGTCATGTACCAGAGTGTGACAGAATTCCACAACTTGAACTCAAACTCCAGCTAAAACATATATTCATATCCTACTCTTAGCATAGACCTGCCCCTGAGGGCTTCTGAGCACAGGGCCAGATAGTAACAGAGTGGCATTGACCCTTTAGACAATCATTGCTTTCACAGAACATCTCAGCTGCTGGCAAGTCAGAATTCAACAAGTGCCATCAAAGCCTTACTCTACCATTACATACTGGCAAAGTCCCACAAGGCTAACCACACAGGTACGCAAGATGGCGAAGGATATCTGGCATGTACAGCCACAGCTGGGACAACCAGAGAGATCTTTGCTAGGTTCAAACACGTACCCTTAGGAAACTCAGAAAAGGATCTGGTCAAACCATAAACAGGAGTCCAAATATACATGAATAGAAAATGAAAGATACAAAGTGAAGGAAGATGGTGACTGCACCAAACCAAGAAGAGGTTGTTCTCTAGAAGAAGGTTGAGGTCTCCCGAGGTAGGACCCCACAGATGTCAACAGGGGGAAAAGAGCTTGACCTCAAACCTTTTACAGAAGGGGCTAAGGAAAAGGGGATGTGCACTGGGCAGAGGAAATGTCTGAGTCAGAAGAGAGACTCAGGGAGTCAGATGGAATGCTGTCCTCCATTGTTAGTTCCCAAAACAACTGAGCATCACTGGCTGAAGCCTCGGGCAGAGTCCACTGATGTAATTCCGAATCTCTCCTTGAAAACAGCAGCTACTTTCAGACATTTAAACAACAGAGTGGAACTTACACTTCTAGGAAAAGAGATGATAAGTCCCTTTCCTTATTCCTTCCACTAAGCACAACTAAATCTCCCGGGCATTGTGTATAAAGCAAGCACAAGCCTCTGAAAGGCTGGAGATGAGCAAGCTGGCCAGAGAACCAAGGAATGACAGAGTGTAGAAGACTTATAATTAAAAAATAATAAAAGAAATAAAAAAAGATCTAAGTAAATAAATATTCTATGTTCATGGACTGAAAGACTCAACGTAAGTAAAGATATCAATTCTCCCCAAAACTGATACAGATTTAATTCCTAGCAAAATCCCAACTAGATTTTTTTTATACATACTGACAAGAGTATTCTAAACTTTATTTATATGGAAAGGCAAATAAACTGGAATACTTAAAATTTCTGAGAAAAAAGAATAAAGCTAGAAGAGTCTATTGGATTTCAAGACATTTTATAGTTATAATTTACATGGTGATATTGGTGAAGAGATGGACACACAAACCAATGGTACAGAATAGATAACCCAGAAATACCTACACTAATGTGTCCAAGTGAAATCTGACAAAGGTGCAAAAGAATTCAATGGAGGACAGACAGCCTTCTGGACAAATGGTATTGGAAGAAGAGGACATGCATAGGCAAAAATAAATAAATAAACAAGCCTCAACCCAAGTCTTCTACCTTATACAAAAATTAACCCCAAATGGATCACAGGCTTAAATGTAAAGCCTAAAATTTTAGGAAAAAACATGGGAGAAAAACTTCAGGATCAAGAACAAAGAGCTCTTATAGTTGAAAAAAGCACATACTATGAAAGAAAAAATTGATAAATTGGACTTCAACAAAATAAAAAACTTTTACTCTACCAAAGAACTTGTAATAGATTTTTTTTTTTTTTTAAGGCAAGCCACAGACTGGGAGAAAAGACATGCAACCACATATCCAACAACAAAAAACACAAGTATCTAGAAATATCAAAAATTCTTAAAACTCAACGGTGGGGGGAAATACCTAATCAGAAAAGGGCAAAAGACATGAAGAGAGATGTCACCAAAAGGATATACAGATGGCAAATAAACGTACGAAAAAATATTCAAAAGTATCAGCTATTGGGGAACTGCACACTAAAACCACAATGAGCTATTACTACACACCTATCGGGTGGAGAAAATAAAAAAACACCACCAAATGCCATCAAAGATGCAGAGAAACCGAACCGCTCAGACACTGCCCGTGGAATATAAAATGGTGCAGCCATTCTGGAAGAGAGTTGTGTTGTTTTTTTTAATATAACTATGCAATTAACATATGACCCAACCATTGGACACCTGGGCAATTATCAAAGCGAAATGAAAACCTATGTCCACACAAAAGCCTGTACACAAATGTTTATAGCAACTCTATTCATATTAGCCCCAAACTGGAAAAAATGGAGCCATCATCCATCCTTCAATGACTGAATGGTTCAACAACCTGTGGTACAACCACATGATGGAATACTACTCAGCAATAACAAGAATGAACCATTGATACATGCAACAACTGGATGAATCTCCAGGGAATGGTGCCAAGTGAAGTCAATTTCAAAAGGTTATAAATGGCCTGGCTCCATTTACGCAGCATTCTTGAAGTGAAAAAATTAGAAACGGCTTAAAAAGGGGTGGGATGGCTCTAAAAAAAAAAAAAGAAAGATCCTTGTGGTTATGGAAATACTCTATATTGACTGTATCAATGCCAACATCCTGGTTATGATATTACTAGAGGCCTGGTGCACAAAATTTGCGCACTGGGGTGGAGGAGTTCCCCTCAGCCTGGCCTGCGCCCTCTCGCAGTCCAGGACCTCTCACTCCATATCAACCACCTGTTCGCTGCTTCTTACCATTCATCTAGCTTTGCACTGAGAGGCTCCCGCCAACACCACTGTGCTCGCCAGCCCATGAACCCGACTTCTGGCTGACCAGCGCTCCTCCTGGGGGAGCGAACTGACCACAAGGGAGCAGCTCCTGCACTGAATGTCTGCCCCCTGGTTTGTCAGTGTGCATCATAGCGACTGGTTGTTCTGCTGTAATGGTCACTTAGGCTTTTATTATATAGATTCTATATTTTGTTACCACTGGAGGAAAGTGGATTAAAAAAGTATACAGGGTCTCTCTATTTTTTCTTGCATGATTCTAAAATATTCAAAATAAAATATTTCATTTTAAAAATGGAATGATCTGAGAAGACCTGGGACATAAGCACAGAACATTTCAGCATAATCAGGTAAGATTTTGAAATCATCAGGATAATTCTAAGTAGATGTTGGGCAGGAGGGAGGAAGAGGGGGATATCCCTGCTGCCAATCAAGTAACACACCTTTCTCTAGACCCAGTTAAGTCGAAAGGCAATGAGCGAGGGCTGATGGACCTGTTGGTCTCACAGAGGCCCAAGATCACACACTTGAACCTTCAGAATCAACAGAGGCAGCAGGGCCGGTTCAGGAATCCGTATGGATGATTCTCAAACCAAATCCCCTGTGCAAACACCTAAGGAACCCTGCCCGGGAGAAACCTTGGGGAACTGCAGGCACAGTATCTAAACTGCCCTGGGATCCCGTTCAAGAAAGGACGGGAGGGTGTGAGACATGGAGGGCTGTTACAAATGTGAGGTCCTCTACTCTTTCTCAATTCACCTGTGAGCTACCGAAAAGGTGAAGGTTAAAGGAGAAAGGGATGTAAGTTTAAATCCACGAATGTAAGGGCAACAAAAGAAAGAAGGCGCTCAGAAAGACTGGTACCTGACGTGTCATTAGTTCAACCTCTAAGTTTTGTAAGAATTCACAGCAACGGTCCGCTGCTGGATGGGGTTAGCCCTTTTAAATGCTATTCTCAGAGAAGAGAGTTTATATAAGTGGATTGTCTCCCCCATTTGAATTTAAGTTCACAAATTATGAACTGGCCAAAGGTCATGTGAATGGCAAGCTGGAGAAGATGAGATGAAGATTTTCTCTCTTCTTTCTTCTGTTCTTCCTGTCTTCAGCCCCACCTCCCACTGCCACACCAGGGGACATGGATGGGAGAGGACCACTGTAGCTTTGCTAACTTTGAGGCTAGTCCAGCAAGAGCCACAATTATAAAGTCTCTCCTGGACTGTGGGAGAGACTGTAGGTGGGGAAAAGGCAACAGAACAAACAGAACTAAAGACATGAGTTTGTTTGTTTCCTGCTTCCTTTTAAGATGGAAAGAAATATTACCCCACTGATAAAGTGGGGACAAGATAAGAGGGTGCTCGTACAGAGCCCACGCATTCTCACTAGGACAAACAAAAGAGCAACATCAATCACTGTCTTCTTGAACTTGGTGGGCATGTTACTCTTTTGAGTGTTTTACTATCAGAGCCAATGAGACATTTAACATCCAATGCTATAAGAATGTTCTCAAAACTCTTTATCACTTCCATTTCCACTAAACTGAAAACCCAAGAGATTAAAATTATTGAGGTATATTTGATCTTCTATTCTCCAAATTCAAAATACTGCAAAAGAACTCAATGTAATCATAGCCCTTGGGAAACTATCATGAAGATATTGGAGGTAAATAAAAGAAAAATCGGTTTGCCATTGCAACTTCATAAACAGAAGTTTGAGTGAGAGTATATTAGCACAAATAGCACCCATTTCCAATTCTAGTATGGACAATAAATCACATAATCTCTCTATGCTAATATGTTTCATCCAATATGTCCAGCTACTTCCAAATGATAGGTATCATGTATTTGTAAAACACATTTATCTAAGGGCCAAAAACTGTCCGTGGAGAGAAGCAACGATAGGGATAAGTTGGCTGATGTCCACTGTGAAATGTATTTCACCAACATCAACCTGTAATTCACTAAAACATCAAAAAAGCTGCAAACAAATGCAAGGGTTTCCTATTCAATGGTGATGGGTTTCCCACTCGTAGCTTAAATTGGCTATAATAAAAAATATTACTGAATATTCTTCAGGACCAAGCAGGCAAACCATAAAATGGATATCAATTAGGTATGTTTAACTACAAAAAGATAGTAAATTTAAGTAACAACTGGAATTTTTAAAATACCAATATTGTCACTAATAATTAAGGAACATTGGTGATGCAGCCTGAGTTGGGATGATACTCTAATTAGCTAGATCTCAGACTCCCTACATATATTCCAATGATCCAACAATTAAGAACTCCGTTACTGACCCTAAATTGTAGGTGCATAACTCAACTAGTACAGAGAGTTTCTATCTATTTAGGAGAAATCAACTTCCCCAAAAACATTTTAAAGTAACATTCACGTTTCAACATTGTTCTGTTCTATGAAAACAATGCTTCCTCTCTCGTCTATGTGCATACATACATCCACACGCATCCACACACCCCCTTCCACTTAACTGAGCTCCTCCCCCAAAACCAAGGGCATCGTATAGAACACTCATGTCTACAGATTCATCACTGAAACACCAAAATGTAAATGATACTCTACTTGTCCACTCGTTTCTGCAGCCTGCTGGAAATGCGTAGCCAGCGATGTCTCGTCCTGGAACACTTCGTTGCACTCCAAACATTTCAGACTATGCCTGCAGAGCTTGGATGGGTCTTCGTCTAGAGGCATAGCTGGAATGGTGGGTGTGCTTGAAGGAGCCGATATGACCGTCCCAGTTATACCAGACTGGATTTTTGTTACAGTGTGTGTGCCAGCCGCCACAGAGCTTGGCAGAGTGGAAGATGAAGCAGAAGTATTGCTTGGTGGAGAAACAATCATTTGATCTGCTGGGACGGGCTTTAAGATTAAGTGGGAGCACTGCATGACCACCCCCTTCTCCTTATGCCCGCGGGCATGGGAGAGGAGGCTGCACTTATTGTAGAAAACGAGGTTCTTTGTACAGTGGTTACATGTCACCTCGATGCGCACACTGCGTCTGTCGTAGTGCTGAGTCAGACTCTTTTCCAGAGCGAAGGAGTCGCCACACTCCAAGCACTTGTACCCGCGGGTGGGCAGCGTGATGCCTGCGTTAGCAGGGGGACTGAGGTTGGGGATGTAAATTGGAACAGGGTTGACACTGCTCAGCACCTTGTTGAAAGCTTCCACCACAGAGCTCTGCAAGGACGACACCACCTGGACTCGAGAAACCTTTTTGGGTGGTTGTGAGACAGCTGCATTGATTATTGCCTGCTTTATTTGCTGCTGAGGTTTGGTTAGCACTTGGCGGAGCTCAGAGGTGGCCTGTGCGCCCTGAGGCAGAAGGTTAAGGTTGGCGAGGTGCACAGTCTTTGGCACGAGTTTGGCATTGGCCAGGCTGGATGCCGGCACCACAACGGTTTGCTGCTGGATGGCATTAGCAGCTTTAATGATGGCGCTGCTGGCGCTCTGAACAGAGGCAGCAGATATGACTGTGGCTTTGACCGTTGTGTTGTTAGCGAGCTTCAAATTAATGACTTGAGATCCTGCTGTCTTCACAGCAGACACTGGGAGGAAGGCCGTTGCCACGGGCTTAATAGTGACCTGCTTGGGGGTCAGCTCTGCAGGGCTAATCGCGTTGGCGACAAGGGCAGACTGCAGTGGCGCTCTGGGGGGAGAGGCAAGGACAGCAGCTGCAGCTGGGGATGACAGAAGCGACGTCACAGAAGCCAACACAGGCCCTGGATGCTCGGGCTTTTTTCCAGAGTCGAGATCAACTTCTGGCAATACCCTTGTCACTGTTCTCTTTATTTCCCCAGAGGACGTCTTAATGGTTTTGATGCGGACTTTGGGAATTGCTGGTGTTGATCCTGCAGGGGACGACGGAGATCCCTTGCTACTGTTTTCACTTGAAATGCTCCTGGGGCTATCCGGCTGCTTCAAGGACACCTTCTTCGTCCCATCGATGAGACTCTGGGACTCGGGAGACTTTTCAATGGCTCTAGGACTATCATTGACTTCTTTTGGTAATGGAGAGGGTTCCCGTGAATTGGTCACTGGCTCTTTACTGGCGCCGGAAGCAGCCTTTTTAGCACTAAGAGCGGCGATGGCAGCTATGCAGGAAGAAAGCTTAGAGGATGGCTTTGACCTTGACGGAACCACACCGACAAGGGTAGTGTCGTTCTTCTCGGAGCTCAGCTTCCCGTCATGGACCCTATTTTCAAGCACCTTTTCAGAGTTTTCCTTCAATTTATCCTCCACTTTTCTGACTTTAAAAGGTTCATAAACACTCAGATTGATAGAATTTGTTTCTGTTTCTCTCTTGATAACTTTGTTTTTGTCTGCATGGCCTGAAGTAGAGATTCCAGTTTTGCTTAAGTTTCCCCCTCCAAGTGCCTTCAGTTTCTCGTAGTCCTGTTGGGAAACAGACCCCGTCAACACATTTGATCTAAAACTCGAATGCAAGTCCTCTTTATCAGGGGGGTCATCCACCTCTATCTTCTCATCATCGTCAAACTCTTCAGCACTAGAGATAGGGCTAAACTGGCTGAAAGCGGAGTCTTTTAGAGTCACCTCTGAGGTAGGCACATCTCCTTTCAAGGACTTTGACCCCTCTTTACTGTAGCCATCCAGAGAGGATGCTGTGAGGAACCCATTGTGTAGGCCATTGCCCGTGGGGTGGCCATCTTTCTCGGAGCCCTCGGAGGAGGAATCAATGTTCCGAACGTTCTTAACAATAACACTGACGCCCACGTCGGAAGAGGATGGCGTGTGGGAGTCGTCCTCTCGCTTGATGTGGCTCTCCTGGTCATCGTGTCCAGATTCAATAGCTGCTTTAGGATCGACCATATCTGGGATGTCGAACGCTGCCAAGAGGTCATCAAAGTCGGGGGTCTTCATATCCCCCATGGTCATGAATTGGATCAGATGTTCTGTTAAACAAACAGAATAATTCCATCAGCAACTGGTATTTCAAAAGGAGAAGAAAAACACCCTCCAGGATTTACACTAGCACGGTAATCATTACCCAAGAAGAGCAAGTCGGTAACTGCACAATTATTATAATTACAGAAAAATTCTGAGTCAAAGTGAACACATTTTCAGAGGACATATAGAAAGCCTTGATAATTGTAGCTTCAAAGGAATTCCTCCAAAATGCCGCACACCGCATGATCAGTATGGCACCACTCTGAATACAACCGATCAAAGCTGTTACCTCAAGAAAAGTAGGTTTTGGTGTAACAACCAGAAAATTTATCATTTACCACTGGATTCATCGCATCCTCACAAAAAACTACTTCAAACATATTTTGATCTTGACAGCATTTACTCCCACTGGCAAAATAATCACTGTTATAGTCACCATCAGATTTGGGATATCAAATTAAATGTATTACAATAAAATAAAAAAACAATGACAGCCATTTATCCACAGAAGAAACAAGCATCCCACTACTGCTAGTCAAATTCCACCCGGGATTTTTTAAAAACCCTTAGGCGCTGATCCCATCTGTTTTTGTTTAACCCTAGTTTTCTCTATTCTGTTAGGAAAAAACACCATCTTGGCAGAAAAGCCCAGCATTCCTTCCTTGTCCCTCCCTAGCCCAGGGGTTTTAATGGTTGAGGTGACACATGACTACTTTCTAATTACCACCTATCGGGCACAGTTGTGCAAGCGGCTGTGGCAGCTGAGAAAGATCCCACCGTGAAATGATGCTCAGTGCAGACCTGAGAACTGCAGAGCTGGGAGAGCAGGCCCTCTCCTTTATCCGGAGCGGGATATGTGTACATAACATTCTGCACCCATTTGTGTGCACAAAGCTTTGGTGATAGACAATTTTAGAAAAATGGCCAGTCACAGCTGTTACTAAAGATGAAGAATATATAAATACATGAAATGCCGAGGGTATCTAAAGGGTGCCCTTTGCCCCACTGCAGAGAATGCATGATCGTGGGGTTCAGATAAAACTTCTGCTATAAGAACGATCGTTGTCCTCCCAAGCCCTGCACATTACGCTCCTTTCTGGTCTGTACTACAGCGTGTGCACTTGTCTCTTCTTACCCAGATGGGACTGTCAGCACCTGCCAGACTGCAAATACAGATAACTAACCAACCACAAGTCAGGGGCCAGAACACTAGATTTATAATGGAGCAGGTCTGGACCCTAAGAAGTGAGGGAATCTTTGAGCAGGTTCCTTCCTTCTACAGTGGTGGGAGGGAGGCAAGCATCTAGGAAGAGAAGGAAAGAAGGAAAGAGAAGAGAGGGGATGAAAAATAGGAAAGGGGCCAAAACCAGTTTGGCTCAGTGGATAGAGCGTCGTCGGTCTGCGGACTGAAAGGTCCCGGGTTTGATTCCGGTCTAGGGCATGTACATTGGTTGTGGGCACATCCCTGGTGGGGTGTGCAGGAGGCAGCTGATCAATGATACTCTCTCATCGATGTTTCTGGCTATCTATCCTTTTCCCTTCCTCTCTGTGAAAAATCAATAAAATATATTTTTAAAAAATAGGAATCAAGGTCAGAAGACAAGAGGGTTACAGCTGATTTTTGGCAACTTTCAATGGAAAAATTAGCCTAACTGATTCTTCAATTTTCCTATTATTCCTCCTTTAAATCACTAAGAAGTGGTCTTCCACATTTTTATGGAAGAACTTAGGTAATAATTTACTTTCTTGTACAACAAGTAAAAGATCATTCATCCCTAAGAAAAGTGATGACACAAAGGTCAAGGCTGAATTTTCACTCAGGTGACAACATACTAATGAGAACTCCATAAATTCATCATCAGCTGCTAAGACACCCTCAGCATACTCACTCCCTCTGGGACATGACCAAACACTTCTAAGAATCCCGTTGGGAGAAATTACTGATGAAGATGAAATAAACACTCACGTAAGGAGCTGGAAAAAAACTTCACCTTCCACTCACAACATCTCAGTTAATGGAGACCTAACGAAGCCCCACACACTTTTCTCTAGACTGCTTGGTCCGTTTAAAGAAAACACTCTTTTCTCAGGCGGCTGGCTACGGGACCACACGGGGAATAACGAATCCCCAGTATCAAACACTCAGCCAAGAAAAAGGTGTGGAGGAAATAAGACAACACTTCTAAGCTCATACTGATGTGAAAATATCTGTAAGAAATCATACCCAGTGCGAAAGTTTGTGATGATTTTCTTTTAAAATGAAGTTGAAATTTAAACTGCAAAATATAGGGAATGAAGAAACTATCAGTCAGATAATAGGTCTACTTAAGAGTCCACCCATTTAGGAACAATCCATGAATGTCACCATTTTTATTTGTAAGCATCACGTTGCAATTTCTAAATGGAATACTCACAATAAAACCACTGTCAGCAAAGCATCCCTGTGGTCTCTCTTTCCCAACCACGGTGATCCAAGCTGTAGTCCAGTTTTCAGAGAACTCTGCTTTCATAGAATCATGACCCATGCCCAACCCAAGCACCACTTATCCACAGCTTGGACCAAGCTCTGGAAGTCACAGTTGTGGTTTGGGTGCTCTAAGTGCCTTCATCCTTTCTTTACAACTATCCTGGATGTATGTCATTTGCCCTCTCATCGTTCATCCCAGAGGGCCATCAGTTCAGGAGCAAAAAGAACGTAAGAGACAATTCAAATACTTACAGGTAGTAGGCCTAAGATACAACCATAAGAAATGATAAAAGGTCACCACATGAAACTTTGGATGACTGGCAGTTCAGATCAGCAGTCCAATAGTTGGAAGATCAATGCATGGTTCTTAGTATCTCCTTCTCCTGTTTACATGGTGGGGACCTGCCTGACCTGTCTGTGCTCAGGTAACCCAGAGCAGGTAGAAAACCTTTCATCAGTGGTAGGATGTTGCTCACCACACTGCCTGTATCTTTTCCCATCTGCCCAAGGAAAGCAGAGTTAAGGTTTGGGAAGCCCCAGCCTGCAAAACCCCCAAGGGGCTGAGAAGACATTCCTGATTCAGGAACAACTCTTTTCTCTGTAGTAATCCAGCTTCCCTGCTGTCTCAATCTCCGGTATTACCTTATCCTTTCTTTTGAGGGAAAAGGGTGAACCCAAGGGTAGAGCAATGAGACATCCTTAGAGGTAAGAGGGAGTTAGCTGTGGTTTAAAAAACTAAGCCTCTTAGTCCATCTAATGGAATCCTGACTGCCACGTGGAAGAGCACAATGAGCATAGAATACTGAGTGGGGCATCGACAGCGCGTTGCACTGAAACCCGAGATCACACCATGAGGGCGGAGTTGCCTCTCAGGGTTGTAAAATTAATGTAATGAATACCGCTCTGTAACTTTACACTTCTTTTTTTGGCTTATAGAAATGTTTTTCATACCCACATCGTCCTATTACCCATTACCTTCCCACATTCAGGAAGGCGAGAGCAAATTTTCCACTTGGAATAAAAAATAACTTTAACTCCCACTTCATTTCTCAGTTATATGAAGTACAAAGAGAAATGTTTATGTTTGCAAATTCTTTTCATTTTTTTCCCTCCAATTCCTAAGAAATAGATTCCTTTACTTCAAAGCATTACAAAAATAAATCTTAGTTGTCTTTTAAAAGATAACATTAACAAGACCTCAAAATTTGAGTTTCTCTTGGCCTCAAAAGCTTGATTTTCAAACAGAATTAGCTTTAGTCATTTTAACTAAATATCTTTCATTTCATTTATATGCTGAAAAATATATCTTCCTTCAAAGGCACTTTGTCTTCTAATGTAAGGCTAAATCACATTTCAATAACCTATAACTCACTAATAGGTGTGTGTTCAATGTAGAATGTCCTGTTGCCCAAAGACATTGAAAATATCTAGGGGGAAAGGCTAGGCCTGTTTACAGAAAAGGAAATTGAAAGACCTCAAGTGCATCATGTGATCTCTTTATTCCCTCCTATGACACAGACAAAATATTTCCTTTCCTACCAAAGCCTCTTAAAATTACAGAAAGCTGTTTCATCTTTGTTGGCAAAAGTCAAAAGTTATCAAATCAAAAGAAAGCCTCAAGACAAACCTATTCATCCCTTACTCATACTTACGCTTTGCAATAAAAAACAGGGGAAGACTGTTCGTAGAGCTGTTTCCTAATTTCCAACTGGAGAATGACAGCGTGAAAGGCTTAGGCATTATTTAACCATGCTTCTAACTTCAATAATCCCAAAGATATGTGCCCAAACCCAGCCAAGGTTCTGCCTCCAAAATGAATATGCAAGTCATTCTGAGCAGTGAAAACACGTCAGCTTTCCTATTTAAATGGAGAAGCTAACATTTTCTTTACCAAACGTCAATAAATTCTAAATCATAACAATCCTAAAGAAAAACAAATCAGTCTATTGGTCATCATGACAACACTAGAGGCCTGATGCAAAAAAATCTGTGCAATAGTAGAGGATGTGGGGGAGGGCACAGGGGAGATCTCTCAGACTGGCCTGCGCCCTTTTGCAGTCGAGAAGAGAGCCAGACATCCTTAGGGCAGAGCTTCTGGATGAACGACGCTCCCCCTGCGGGAGCACACTTACCACCAGGGGACAGCTCCTGCATTGAGCATCTCCCCCCTAGTGACTGGTTGTTCCACTGTTCAGTCAATTTGCATATTAGCCTTTTATTATATGGGATTATACACACTCTCCATAAAATAACAGTAATGATACCATTATTCTTTTTGGTGTCTATATCACTTTTTTTTTGCACAGTAACTGCACATTGAAGCCCTCAACAGATTAGTGATTTAATTCATGTTTTATCCTTATTATCTTTACTTCACATATAAAATGTTTTTATGACATGCAATGTTTACCATTTATTTTGTTCCTCATTGAAAATGAGTGCAGCACCCCAGTTTTTAAATGTCTTCAAGGGACTGGTTTCTCCTGGCCTTCCACATTCAAATTCTTGTTGTTCCCATTAC